TCCGTTGTGATTTTACCCTTTTCATTCCTGAATAAACTTCAGTCTTTTCTTTCCTTTTTTTGGGTAAGGTTGGCTAAGGTTTTACCAATTTTATTTAATCTTCAAAGAACCAACTCTGATTCATTCATTCTTTGTATTATTTTCTTAGTCTCAATTGCATTAATTTTTGCTTTGATCTTTATAATTTCCTCCTGTGTACAAGGTTTGGGCTTGTTCTTTTTCTAGACATTTGAGGTTCAACATTAGGTTGTTTATTTGATCTTGCTCTGTTTTCCTGATGTGAGAATTTACTGGTATAAATTTTCCTCTTTGGACTGCTTTCATTGCATCCCATAGGTTTCAGTATGTTGTATTGTCACTATCATTTAATTGTATATACTGTTTAATTTCATCTGTGATCCGTTGATTGTTCAGGAGGGTGTTATTTAATTTCCATGTGTTTATTCAGTTTTTGTGGTTTCTTTTGGTGTTGATTTGCAATTTCATTGCACTATGGTCAGATAATATGCATGGGATGATTTCAGTTCCTTTGCATTTACTTAGGCTTGTTCTATGAGCTATATGTGGTCTTTTTGGAGAATATCCCATGTGCAGCTGAGAAGACTGTATTCTGATGTTGGGAGATGGAACGCTCTCTAGACATCCCCTAAGTCCATTTGTTCACAAGTTTGATTCAGTTCTGATGTTTTTTGGTTGATTTTTTGTGTAGTGATCTGTCTATTTGTGATAATAGGGTATTGAGGTCCCCCATTACAATTGTATTAGTGCTTATTTGATTTTTCATGTTCATTAATATTTGTTTTACCTAGTTGGATGCACTGGCATTTGGTGCATTTATATTTATGATTGTTACATCTTCCTCTTGGATTGTTCCTTTTATAAGGATGTAGTGACTTTCTTTGTCTCTCTTAATTAGTCTTGGCTTGAAATCCACTTTGTCTGCAAATAGTATAGCATCTCCTGCTTTTTTCCAGCTTCTTGTTGCATGGAGTATTGTTTTCCATCCTTTTGACTTTCAGTCTATGAATTTCTTTTTGAGTTAAATGCATTTCCTGTATGCAGCATGTTGTTGGATCTTGTTTCTTGATCTGTTCTGCCAGTCTGTTTCTTTTGATTGATGAATTGAGCCCATTTACCTTGATGGTTATAACTGAAATATATTGGCTTATCCTTGTCATATTATTTTCCTGCTGTTGGTTCTCTGTCTTTCTCCTCTGTTTAATTACTTGCCTTGTCTGGTGGCTTCTTTCTATTGGTCTTCTTGGAGTTATGGTCTTGATTATCTCTTTCTAAAATATCCTTTAGGGCAAATCTTTACTTTTACACTTAGCCAGCATCTTCAGAGTTCTCGCGGCTCCTGTCTGGTTCACAAGCCAGGCATGAATCTGAACTAAGTGTAAACGCAGAATTTAGATCTTTCTTTTCTGGGATTCTCACTTTGCTTTCTAATGGTTTTTTTTTTTTTTTTTGGTACCAGGGATTGAACTTGGGTCCTTGGCGCTTGCGCAGCAGCCAACGAAACCACTGAGCTAAATCCCCGGCCCTATCTAGTGGTTTTGATTACCTGATGTCCTGTTCTCTGGTTCTTCATGTGGAAAGACTGAGGGATTTTTATTAGTTTTAGTTGCTCTACGTGTTGTGATTGGGGTCTGCCGTAAGGAACAGACAGATAACCAGCTCACTTGGTGCCATTTCTTCTAAGTATTGATTCCCTTCAGAATCACCCTGTTTTAGTCATTTTCCATTACTTTTAGAAAGTAGTTTATTGTGTTTTATCTGAACAGGAGAATTGATAAGAGGTTTACTTAGCCATTTTTGAAGAAGAACCAGAATTTTTTGAGGTAAAAAATGTTAGCAAATATAGGTTGATGAAGTACAATCTTAATGGTTATCTCATTATTTAAAAAAATATACAGGAGAGAAAGAATGATATAAAACACACACATATCCACACACTTAAAGAGATTTATTTAACTCTTTATTTAAAATTGATTTATTTAACTCTCTACTTAATAAAATATTACAGTAGAATACATTTTTAATGTAACTAGGTAATTTACCAAATGCATAAGAAAATTCATATATCAGGATGTAAATGTGGGGAAATAAAACTTCTCTGGTTTATGGTGACTTTTCAGGCAGGTTATATTAGCAGTAATTGTATTTTAAAACCTGTATAGATTGCTTAGGCTTATTTTCAAGTTTGCTTAGACTATATATTCTACTGCTAGTTAAATAAAAATTTCTGATGTGTGTTTTCTTTTGATTCAATTAATTGATAAAAGTATATAGTTTTTAGTGAGAAGCCTCAAAATGATCAGTTTATTATTTAAAAGTTTTTTGTGGGTACTTTCCAATAAAATTCCTACTTTCTAGGTAAATGTGCCCTTGATTATTCCTCTTGAACTCCTTATCTTCTTTGTGAAGCAGTGTTTTGATTTTACTTTTGTGTCTGTGCCAGTGGTTTTTCTCCTGGCTTTTGCTCCTTTCCTTTATATCTTTTTTCCTTAACATTTTGGATTATCTTTACTTTTTAACTCTATGTGTAATAGGAAAGATTAGAAGCATTGATTATATCATTTTTCCTTCTTTACTGCTGAACATTATCCATTTGCCTAGCTTTTATCTTTATTTCTTAGGAGTTATGAAATATTTTAAGTATTTTGTTCAATGTGTAGGAAATTTGAAGTAAAAGCAAGGACTCTATGTACTATATTCTCATTCTGCTGGGAAAATCCTGCTTGTTGACTCAGTCTTTCAAGATGTTTCCATCAACTGACAAGGACTTCTCACAGTGACAGAAGTGTAGTGATGATGATTATAACGCAGTTAATAAGTAGTTCTGGTGTGTAACCACTTTTGCATGTTTAGTTTACCAGAAAATTCTCTAGAGTGAAGTAGTATCCTATATTCTTAGTTTAAAATTTGGAAAACCTTTGCATGCTTTCAAAGTAGATTTTGAGATAATAGTGCTAATGAAAATGTAGAATATATAAAAGCCTGATGTGAAATTCTAGAAAGATTAGCATGTCTTCATTTCTTAACTTCTAAAAAAGGAAAAATCAAAACTTAAACTTTATTTTTAAAACTTTCTGAATTGTATAATTCATTAAACTTCAGATTATAGTATATTTCTTATTACTGTAAAATTCTAGTCACAAATACAGACCAAATTCCCTTAATATATGGATTTCCAGTGGAGATTTATTTGGTTTTTTCAACCAAATTCTTCAATTTTTATATTGCTGTTAAGTAATAAAATATTTTAGAAGATGTATGTCCAGTTTGTAATGTGTTTCCTCAGATAATCTGGTTGTACTAAATCATTAGAGGAGTGATCCATTGTATAGGTTCTTCTCTCTTTGTTATCAATTTGTTATATTGGATCAAGTGAGGCTAGAAAAGGTAGAATTCTCTACCTTTTAAACTTAAAATGATGAAGTGGTTCTTGTAATGAGACTAGGTAGGCTGCTTTGTATAAGTTTCAGTTCTTCATATAATGATACCACTTAAAGATCCTTTAACATTTGGGAAAACTGTATTTATGACATATGAATAATATATTACTAGTGATTTTAAATAACACATACTGCTTTTGGTTGTTGTATTGTATAGAATACTCTTAATACAGTTGTGTAAGTATCAAAAATAAAAATATTCAGTTATAGGTCATTCGAGAGATGCAAATTAAAACAACGCTGAGATTCCATCTCACTCCAGAAAGAATGGCTGCTATGAAGAAATCAACCAATAACAAATGCTGGCGGGGCTGTGAGGGGAAAGGAATCCTGCTCCACTGCAGGTGTAGTGTTGACTGCTGCAACCACTGTGGAAATCAGTATGCAGATTCCTCAAAAAACTAAAACTAGAGGCTCCATTTGACCTAGCTATACCCCTTCTTGTTATCTTCTCAAAGGAATTAAAAGAATCATACCACAGCAATATATGCCCACCAATGTTTATAGCAGCACAGTTTGTAATAGCTCAATCTTGGAAACAGCCCAAATGCCCATCAACTGATGAATGGATAAAGATGTGGTTTTTTTATATAGTGGAATACTACTCTGCCTTAAAGAAGGACGAGCTTCAGACACTTGTAGCTAAATAGGTGGACCTTGAGACCATACTCTTAAGTGAAATAAATCAGACACACAAAAACTGCATTGTTTCTCTGGTATGAGAAACTGAATGTAGAAATAAGGACTGATATGTATAATGGATGTTGGGAAACGGGAAGAAAGTGTTCAGATGGGAAGGGAAATGAGGGAAGGAGAAAGGAAGGAAGGGACAAGAAAAAAGTGAAAATAGAAGGAAAAGATGGAGACAGAGCTTCTGTACATGGGGAGGGGAGGGGAGGGGAAGGGCCTTGGGGGAATGGGATAAAATAAAAAAATAAAAATAAAATTAAAAAGTTGTACATATAAAAAAATTTCAAACAAGCAAAAAAACCCATTCAGTATATTATCAAATGGAATTAAACAACATTGCACAACCCAGTAAATTCATCATTGCAACTTGCTTTAAAAATATTATTTTACTCTTTTAAAATAACATCTGGTTGTCTTTGAGTATTCTTTTTTCCTATCATTATTTGTACATAGTTTGACGTCCTTTAGAGTTACCAACTTAAAAAATAGTAGCTGTCTTTCTTTTTTTTTTTTTTAGTTGCTGTATTTCTGAAGTATAGTCACTATAATGTAAATAGTCTCATATAAGCAGAAAAACTTAAAAGAAAAACAAAAGACACATGGTTCACCCAGGGCTATAGGGTCCATGGTAGAGTTGTAACTAAAGCTCAACTTTGTTTGCTAATCTTGTCATCTAATCCATACTGATTAATATTCTTGTAAATGGATAACTTTGGTCCATTAACCTAAATATAATTTATGAATAAACTCATATTTTCCCATTTTATAAGTCTGTTGGTACTTTCTTCATTGTGATAAAAAGATGATGGTACTGTAACTAATTCTTAACCCACGCTCTTTTTTCCCCTTTAGAAAAATTGGAAGCTCAACCACCTACCCCAGGACAGCTGAGATATGGTAATGGCTGTATAATTGTTAAAGATTTGTGGATCTGTATTTAAGATTTGTAATAACTGTATCATTCACTGATAGCACAGAAAAATCAGTAAATCAGGTCTTTCCAGGTAAGAGTAGAAGTTAAGATGAGTTATTTTATTTATTATGCAGAAGCACTTTATAAACTTAGTTTAAGATATCACAATATTATGGGATATCTACTAGTTAAAAAATATCTAATATTGTTTAAATATCTTTACCACCTAGAAAGAAAGAGAATTAAGCATATTATAGAAATGTTCATAATTCCAAGAAAAAATTTCATTGTGTATTTACTTCCCGGGAAAAAGGATGTGTTTGAATTTAAGTCAGATAAGTGCAGAACTAGGGTTTCCAGGCTCCCGGCAGGGCAGAGCTGTGTCCTCATGTGGAGATGCTTCCTGCTAGCTATTCATTAACAGTGGGAAGTACAGTGCACCTAGGCCACAGAAAGGAAGGCCCCGGCATTCTTTCTTTCTGATAGGAATAAATATTACCAGACTGACTAGTAAAACCAGTTTAGGGTCTTAGTATAAAGATAATGAAGAAGAGAATCATGTAGTGCGTTTGAATAGGTTGTAAATTGAAGCTAGATACTAAGTATGATTTGCTGTTAACTGCTGAATTATATAATAGGGTTTTCCAAGGGAAATTGAAAAAAATCACAAATTAGAAGATCATTATATAACAGATTTATACAATTAGAAAAACTAATAGCTGGTTCTTTTTTCTCTCACAGTAGAATATAATTTATATTAGAAGTTACTAACATTCCTCAAATACCAAAATAATTTAAAAATTCTTTAAGACTTCTCTTCCCAAGTAATTTTTCCTCGTTCTCCCTAGATACATAAAATGTGTATTGATCGTACTGTATAGTGCTATTACCATTTTATGTAGGTTATAATGAAATTCACCATTTATGAGGCTATATTATCATACCTAAAATCCTTTAAGGACTGGGAACCAAGTCTTATTTATCTTTGTATCTCAGGTTCCCAGTGGAACATCCAATACATATATTTTTTTAAAATCATGCTTTTTCCCTTTGGGTTAAAAATAAATTTTTGTTTATAATATTCATTTATTTAGGTAAGCATAAAAATATATTTATAGTTTAATGTGACTATTGTAGCAAAGTGTCTCAGTTTTACTGACCAGCTTTTTACCAGAATAGCAATTAGTATAATCTTAATTTAATGTTCTTACCACCTAAATTTTAAGATATTTGTAACTGGCCAATTTTAGAGATGCTGTCAAGTTAACTCTGACAGGCTAAGTAATCCCAGCTGGTTTCATCAGTATTTTGCCTTTTTATGTTTCAAAGATCACTGGGAAGCTGATTTCTGGGTATACTTAGGTAGCTTTCTCTGCAGTGCACACATTTAGTGCATTTTAAAAAAGGTTATTATACTCTTGACCTATTTATGCTATATTTTTGGAAATTGGGATTGTGTCTGTGTTTTAGAAGCTACTTGTAAAATTGTGAATGTTTTTATCAGGTAATTATCTAGATTTGGGCAAAAAGTAAAAGAATTTTAAGGCTAAATAGTCTTTGAAAAATCCCATTTCATTAATGTGCTATTTGATTTTTATCATATTAATAGGTTTTAATAATCCTCATAATTAAATATTTTGTTCTTGATTTTGGATATTTTTACTTCATAACAAGAAATCCAAAATGACCTGTTATATACCTATTATGTACTATCTCATGTAATATTGTATAACTGATAATTTTATGTATAATAGTACTGTATTTATTATTTGTCATTGATCTTAGTCTTTGATAGTGGTTGGGGTAGAAGTGGGTTTTTTTTACCACTTATCAGCTTTCATTGATTGGTTGTCAAAGTCACTATAGTGATGTCAAACTTTAATAACTTTTAAGTAATATCTTAATTATACTTTTCTGTGGACTTAACTCCATTAAAAGAAAAGAAAAAAAAAAACCTCCAAAATCACTTAATGCATGTAACCAGCTGGCATAAGGGACTATTTTTTTCGATATAGTATAAAACTCAAGAGTTTTAATGTTTATCTAATAAAAGTCCTCAGTTAATTTGATACTGACTGTACTTTGGCAATTTGTACAAAAGTGTAACACAATTATTTTTACATGTTATACTTTGTTTTCTCAATACAACTTTTATCACATAATGAAACTTATAGGAGTATCAGGATCTATTGAAAAGGAAATTCTAAAGATTATCAGTCAGTTTAGGAGACTTTAATCTTATGATCTGTTTTTGTCATTCTAAAGTTATGAAAATTTTAAAATATGTTTTTCTTTTCTTGATGTTTTTCAGTATTCTTCCACAATGCAATACCTTTCGTAGGGTTTGGCTTTTTGGATAATGCAATTATGATTGTTGCAGTAAGTTCTTTTTCTCACCACTTCTGTTTTGAATTAATAAAGAAATTAATGTGGTCTGCATTTTCTAATTTACATATCATAGTTATAAAACTTTAACATAACGGACAAACCTATTTTTACTGTTTCATATTAATGAGGCTAGCTCAATTTAAAAGCATCATATATTTATCATTAAGACCTTTGGCAGAGCATTTAGGTAAAATATGTAGGACTTATATTATTCTGTTCTACGTTGGCAATTTTGTTAAAGAAAAAAGCATGTAAATTTTTCTGATGTTGTGTTTATAGTGGTTATCCTACGTGTACATGTTTGATTAGTTCTATATTGATTTTCCAATCTAAAAATGTTTTAGTAGGTGTCTCATACACAACCTAGCCTTTAGTCTAACCCTTTAATCCAAAACTGTCTTAAATTTCAATTTAGAACATTGAATATATTTCCATTCTGCATTTTGTTGTGTTGCGAAGAAAAGTCCCCCTTTGCTATGGTCATTTTAATGTAAAAGCACTCCCTAAAAATGTGCCATAATCACAAGGATGACTGATTTATCTTTCTTACTATTAATTATGCCTTTTGCTATTCGATACCAATGCATGGTCTATATTCCTAACAGAAGTAAATTGTGATTAAAATGCAAGTCTTCTAAAACTGCCTAGTTCTTTACCCTCTTTTTAAAAAAAAATTTCACTTGATTGTAGTTCAGTTAAGAAGGCAGTTATCTGCTTTCAGTGTATATTTTTTGAGTCCTTTATGCAAAGTCATCCTTCTCAGATACTAGTAGTAAATGCATCCAAACTCCGTTACCTATGTCCTGGTAGGACAAAGGAGTATCCATTTTATGAGTTCTCAATTTAAACTCATTGGAAAACATCAGAGTTCTCTGAGTTACAACTGAGAGCATGACGTTGACTCTAACTTTGAAAAGCATTCCATTACCTGTTACTTATACTGTAGACTGTATTGTAGGAGCTTGCTCAGAAAGTAGCTGGGCCTGGTGGGGCATGCCTGTAGTCACAGTACTTGGGAGGCTGAGGCAGAAGGATTGTTCCTAGTTGGAGCTTGAACTAGAGAGACTGTGTCTCAGAAAAACCAACACAACAAAACAACAACGCAACAAATCCCCAAAACCAGTTATTGAATGTGAGGAAAATACTCGAGCAATATAGGATTTCTCTTTGGTATTTTGGAGTTTTTGTACTGCAAATGGACATAAATAGAAGATTTGGTTTCAAAATTGGGATTTAAAAAAAGTAATTTACATTATATTATGTAGATGATAAAAGAATGTCTAAAATCCATTCACTCAAGAAGTGTGTGTCTGCTGTGTAGCCTAGCCTTATGTGCAGATGGACGAGTCATCTGTGCCATTCACCTGGCAGAGGAAGCTTGTGGGATTCACACAGCAGGCCGAACCTGCTGCAGTTACAGGAGAGGTGAATTCTTGAGTGATCTGGGAAGACCAGATTTTTAAAGGCTGAAGCGCGTTAAATGAGTGCCCCCCAAAAAATGTAATTCCAGAGTGGTAGTTTTTTTGGCTGATTATGACGTTTTTGTAATGTACATATTAAAAGTAAAATTGGTCAACTTGTACATCTGTGAATGTAGAAACTTACTCAAGTACAGTGGTGCCTCGGTTCTGTCAGGTAAAAGGGCCGAAGACCAAGACCAGACCAGGCCACAACAAGCCTTTATTAGGGGAATAGATCTTCCGGGCTGTCTCTGAACAAAGGAGAGACAAAAGCAATATGGCTGGGGCAGGGAGAGTCCTTTATAGAGACTGGGGTGGGGTTTGTAGGGGCTGAGTGAGGTAGTGACTAGGGAATGGAGGAGCCTGTGATGTCACTAGGTGGTAGGAGGTAAGCGAGTATTAGGTTACTTTCTAGGCGGGAACAGGGGCATGCTGGGAAGAAGGGTTTGTTCTTTGGTGGGAGCAACCATCTTGGCATGATGTCACACAGGGGAGGGGGCAAGGCACCGTAGGAAGAGGGCAGCTACTATACATAATAGCTGCTGAGGTGGTGGGAGACCTATCAGGTTCATGAACTTAATTTGTTTTACAATTTTGGAATAGATGGCCATGTTAGTGTTTGTATGGGAAAGATGGCCCCAGTCCTGTTTGTCACCCATTGCAGAGTTTGCAAACAAAAACAAAATTTTGCCAAACGCTTCTATGTGTGAACCAGATTGTTTGCAAACAAGAGCATTCATGAACTGAGGTACCACTGTATTGAGAACCATGCTGCCTTTCTTGGAGCTATTAAATTGGAGTCAGCTCGATTATTTAGTTAATGTAATCCAATCTAATTGAAATGAAAACTCCATTATGATGAATTTATAAGCTGTAGGTAGGACCTCATCTGTTCATGAATAGATTCTCTGATTTAAAATGTCTTTAGGGCAGACATTTCTTTCATTTTTACATGATTTCACTCAGTTTCACATGATTTCACTTAGATTCTCTTTACTGACCCATACTACCACCTTAATAGCCATTACATTTTTCACTTCAGTATGGCAGACTTTAGGTTCCCAAGTGCTGGAACATTATCTTTTAACTAGAAAAGGGAAACTGGTAGTTTTTTAGACTCTGAAAGACCATCACAGTGTAGTCATATTTAAAATAAATATCTAAAGTCATCATTGTCTTTGAATACAGCTACTAAACCAAACCCAATTAAACACTCATATTGAGAGTCAAATTATTTATCTTGTTGCTCAGGCCTATGCTTTATTATTAGTCCACCAGCCTGAGGTGGTCGACTCCCAATAATAGTAACTTGTTATTCTGTTTACATTGAAATACAGTTTCAAGGATTTATCACTGGTCTTTACTGAAATAAATATTTTCAACCCTGATGTCAGTGCCTGATTGGAGTGACTAGGGTATGGTGGCAATGTCGTCCCGTAACAATTACAGACTAGGTCGCAGACAGTGACGTTTTTTGGTGAGAAGTTGTAACAGAATGAAGAAACTAACACATAAATAATATAATTGTAGAGTCTATACAAAATGAAATAAGTGATCATTGTTATCCAAAGAATTTTTTTTACCTCTTTATTTTTAAAAAAACTGATTACCTCCTCACCTTGTAGAACAGCTACTATTTTAAGGTAGTGAGCTACTTGATTCTTCTGTCCTCCTCTGCCATAGATGTTTGTTGCCCTCCTCCTCTCTGTTAGAGGTACTTTCCTGACCACTGCCCTAGGTGTCGTGGTGAGAACCAAGTCCTGTGTAACTGCTTATAAGGAATCAGACCCTTGTTGTTGGCTGCTATTAATACTGAGCCTTGGGTTTCATAGTTTATTACCTTCTTATATTATTAGATTGCTTTCTGTAACTTACACTGGGTTTTGGGGTTACTTTTTTGATTTTTAAGAATTCTGCTACAGATTAAGGAGATTCATTGTATTAAGGTGATAAGCCAGGAATACCCTTAAGGCAACTGGTATTAGATTGATAGTTTCTACTTTACCTGTTAGCATATAATTTTATGTGAGTGGGACAGAATGAAGAAGAGGGAGTCTCATGCCCTCAAACCATTTTTGCACTTGTTAGGCTCTTCGGGTTCTTAGGAGGACCTTCGCCCCGCTTAAGTGTAGCCAGGTGATTAAGCACACTTTTTAAATACGCATTTTGCAAAGAGGTTCTTCTTGGTCATTGCCAGGGATTCACTTAGTCAGAGGCAGCATATGTCTTTGTTGTGCATTGTAGCTAGGCAGGACCTTTCTTCCCTAATGGTGCTCCAGGTTTGTTTTTTCATTCATGTATAAAGATATACATCTTCATTCTTTTTCACTGTGCTGGTTTTTTCCTTCTCTTTTTCTCTGTTTTTTCCAGAATGTTTTTCTTTGGGTGCCTTCAGAAAACTTGTAACTTTTACGTGCCTGGGAAACTTGTGCATCAAGTTATTTCATCCATATTCAACAATAACTATATCTTAAAGGGTGGAACCAAAAGTCCTACAAGCAAGAGAATTAAGGGAAACTTACCTTCTTTTCAGTTGGCAAATAGTGGATAAGTAATGCAATATACCACCATAATGGAATATTCTTTTTTTCTCCCTCCACATCATGAAAATTTGAAAATTTTCAAGTATCAGTTTCCAAGAGATCTGAAAATTAAATTCATCTGTGGCAGCCCTGGTAAAGGATTAGAACTGAATTAGCACAATCCCAGCTCCTGGGATTGCTTCCTCATTGGATGTAACAGGGTGTGAGGATTGTTTAATCTTCAATTCTTCCTTCTCTTCTTTTCAGAGGAACAATGATATAAATTTAGAGTCTTAAACTTTTCAGTAAATAAATTCAGTGGAAATACAATGGGGCCTCATTTTTACTGTAGACCTGTTACACTAAATGCTGTTACTACTTATGAATGAATTATAGTTTCATCACTTAATGGTTAAAGATCTAAATGTCATGAGGATAATTTTACAAACCCTGGATTCTCTGGAAACTAGCTTAGAGTTTTAATCTTTGGTAAATAACAATAGGATAGCTGTATCATCTAGAATTTAAGATTATCTGAGTCAATCTTTTATTCAAAGAGCATTAAAACATCTTTCTCTGTGGTAGAAAAAAAAAGAAATTCTGGGATTTTAGTGATGAATTGTATTTCTGTGTGTTTTGCAATTTTCTATTTTTATAAAGCTTTAATTTCAATGAATAAAATGTTACTGATGTTATTTCTGCACGAGTATATAGTTTTAATGATTAAGTGAATTACCTCACTATGTGTGCATTTGTCTGCATACTTTATGGCTGTAATTTTGCTGTACTGACGTATTGTTATAACTTTTTTATATGTTTTTGTTAACTCTGTTATTTTTATAATCACTTTGGCTTTACTTTTTAAGAATTCTTTTTCCTAATCATTTTTCAGGGAACCCAGATTGAGTTGTCTATTGGAATTATTTTGGGAATTTCAACGATGGCAGGTATTTAATTATAGCAATTGTTATCATTCCATTGTCTCTATAAAACATTTTGGTGGGTTAGATTTAGAAGAGGATAATTTATTAGAGTGGCTTTATTTATTGAGATTTCTATTTATCTCCTTAGTCATAATCTTCTGATTCTTAGTTTTGTATATGTAGCACTTTTTTATTTTCTGAGAAATTTTAGGTAGTACATGTTAGCTAATAGGTAACAACACTCTTATGTTGTCTATGTTAAGACAGGTTTGTTTGGTTTTTTTGGTATCAGGGATTGAACTCAGGACCTTGCGCATACAAAGCAGGCGGCGGAACCACTGAGCTAAATCCCCAGCCCAAGACAAGTTTTTGCAGTAATTCAGTGTTACCTCCAACCTCTTTTACCCTTTGTCTCATTAAATTATTTATTTTATAAATAGAAACATTTTAAAATATAAGATTGAAATTCTGTCTCTAGTCTTCATTTCATGATGATGAGATTTTGAAATGGTTGTTTTATTATAACAAACTATGAGAACAAAGTAAGTTAGTGCAAGAAGCATTTTTTTCCTTGATTCTTGACTTTAGAGTTGTATATATGATTTTCTTTAATGTCCAACAATCCAAATTCCCTGAACTAAAATCTATATAAAATATATGACTATAAAATATTTTAAAAATGTTTTAGTGTTGAAACCAAAATGGAAAGTGGCTGATAGTACAGGGAAAAAAACTCTGTTACTTAATGGAAGTAGAATATTGTGATTTCAGACTTGTGCTCTGGTTTTTTTTTTTTTTTAATACTTGTGCTCTGTTTTGAACTCTTGAGATTCAGAGCTATCCAGTGTGTTGTTTTAGGTATACTTGTTGGAATCGGATAAATGTAAGGATGCTTCCAGACCAGTGGATTACATAGTGATGCATTATGGTTTTTCTGACTTTTCTGTAACAATTCACTTGTCCATTTTTAAATTTTTAGCTGCTGCTTTGGGAAATCTTGTGTCAGATTTAGCTGGACTTGGGTAGGTTTATTCATTTATTCATTTGTACATTTGGGTAGTTACCTATCATTTGTTTTCTCAGATTTCCTTTAATTGAGAAGCATAAAAGGGACAACTTATTTTGTGCTAACTTTTAAAATTTAACATTCAGAGACTATAGTGCTAAATATTTGGTTGATGTGCCTCAAATGTAGATGCTTTGGTTACACCCCAGTCGTACAGAATTAGTCTTTCTGGGCATAGAATTTTCGCATTATGGTATATATAGAAATTTACTCTAAAACTACTGTAACATAAACAAAATAGAATTATATTTAGTGAAGATGTATTTCACATACATTTCTATGGATAAATCAGTATTAAAAGCAAGAATCTCCATCATTTTCCCACTGTTTTCTCTTCCACAAAGCCCAAAGATAGGAGATAATTGAGAATAAATTTGAGAATACTGATTGGACATGTTTATTAGAGAGTGAGACTTGTAAAGGAATTGATGGCCAAAGCACACTGATGTGCACACACATACACAAATATGTAGTTTTATATATATATATGTATATGTATAATTGTAATAATAATAATATTATTGGAGATTAAACCCAAGGGCTTGTGCATGCTAAACATGTGCTCAACAACTCAGCCATAGCTCCAGCACCTGACACACAGATTTGTTTGGTCATATTCTCTCTTTATTTCATGTGTTAGAAATGATGAAGCAAACTGAGGATGGCTAGTTATAAAAGGCCAGCTTTCTTTCTTCCAAGTAGCAGATGGCCTGGGCTGCTTTCTGAGTTTGAGGAAGGCTGAGGACTTGGCATTAGTAATTATGATAAACACATCTCTTTTGGTCTGCTTTGACTTAGTGTCTTCCTTCCTTGGCTAATTTTAGTGGTGTGATTTGGATTTGGTATCAATAGAAATCAAATTAGCACCATCATCTTATCTAGGCAAAGAGCTTTATCAATGATTTAACCCTTAATATTAGACATATGCACTGTAGCAGAGGTTGCAAACCCATGGCACATGTGCCATAGTGGGCTGTTTGTATCCTGAAAACTCTAAAATGTTCACCATCACAATAGTAGAACTTTGGGCCAAAGCTACTGTTAAAAGCAGTTTGCTTGTTTTAGGGTCATGATTAGAATTTCATATTCCTGGAATTCATGATATCCCTCTTAATTGTTCAATTTCCCAATTTCCACCTTTAAAGTTAATGATAATATAGTGACTATATAGCTTTCTGATATATTTAATAAAACTAAATCTAATAGATTTTAAAGTGATTTAGTTTGAAATTGCACCATAAAACAATTATTTTTGACTAAAGATGAAGAATTTACTAGGAGTCTTTATACTTAAGAATTTCTCCTCTATCCTATTTTTGCTATCACTGAGTAATAAATATCACATTCTTAGGTTTTCAGATGCACAGTTTTGTTTTTTGGGTTTTTTGGGGTTTTTTGGTACCAGGGATCGAACTCAGGACCTTGTACTTGCGAGGCAGGTGGTGGCACCACTGAGCTAAAGTCCCAGCCCTAGATACACAGTTTTTAAAAACTTAACTGATACCAGGATCCATCTTATGCTTGAATGGTACATATAGTTAAATTTGCAGACTTCTTTCTTAAAGTTCATAAAGTAAGATTGTATATAGTAAGTGATAGCAGCTTAGAATTGATAAAATACTTGAGGTTGGCCCAAAAATTCTAGGCTGCTGTTCTTTGTATACCAGTCTGATACATTTTAAAAACTTTTGCTTTCTGATAATATTTATTAATTTATATCATGCTACTTTGGTTTGAGTTTGGAATAAGTACAGAAATTGTAATTATTTGTAAAATTTTTTTTGTATACCTTGAATTGGTTTTTTAAAGATAATGATAGCAGTTGCTGTAAGTCAGTTGACCTGTATTAAATACATTAATATGAAAATATTTTAAAACTGTTATAATTATACACAATAAAAATAAATGTTGTAAGAAATGTTTACGGCATTTCTGGAGTGCCAGGTGCAGAAGTAAAATTATCTTGCTTCTTTGTGTAGGAATTACTTTTTTACTACGTGAGGACATTTTTACATTTCTTTAAAAACCTATTGTTTGTCCTCTTGTTTTTTTTTAAGACTTGCAGGCTATGTTGAAGCTTTGGCTTCCAGGTTAGGCTTATCAATTCCTGATCTTACACCAAAGCAAGTTGACATGTGGCAGACACGTGTTAGTACGCATTTGGTAAGTAATTTATATGGTTAATGATAATGAATTTGGTCAACAGAGTATGTGGCCCGTGAGAACTTTGAGACTAATTTTTTTTTTTTTTGGTGCTGGTGGAGGTGTGGGAGGTTGAACTTAGGGCCACGCGAGGCAAGCACTCTGCCTCTAGAGAGCTGCATCCTCAGGCCCTTGAGATTAAAGTTGATATGTGTGAAGTTGTTAAAATTATCCAGGTCTTTGCAATTTTCAGTAAAACAATAATTTGTTTACCAGCTCCTTATTTATTATGGTGACTACTTTTTTATCTTTATTTTTTATTAGTACGTTTGCCGTACATAATGACCGCATTCATTATGGGGAATTTGTACCTGCACATACATCTTAATTCTTTGTTTCCCATTCCCTTCCCCTCCCTTCACCCCTTCTTCCCCTCCCCATTGATAGAAGCTCTGTTTCTATTTTTTTCTCCCATTCTCTCTTTAAAAAAATCCCTTTTCCCTTCCTTCACTTTCCTCTACCTCCCTCCCTTGTATTTGAACAAGTTCTTCCTGCTTTCCCATATCTATCTTCCATTTTGCCCCTTATTTATACTTTCGGTTTAAACACAAGAGAAACAGTGTGATATTTAAACTTGTATGTCTGATGTATTTCACTTAAAATTACAGTCTCAAGATATATACATTTACCTAAAAAGGTGGGAATGTAAATTGGTACAACTACTATGGAAAGCAGTATAGAGATTCCTCAAAAAACTAAAACTAGAGATTCCATTTGACCCAGCTATACCTCTTCTAGGTATTTTCCTGAAAGAGCTAAAAGCATCATGCCACAGTGATACATGCATTCTCATGTTTATAGCAGCATAATTTACAATAGCTGAATCTTGGAAATAGCACTTATGCCCATCAACAGGTGAATGAATAAAGAAAATGTGATATTTATACACAGTGGAATGCTACTCTTCCATAATGAAGGATAAACTTGAGACATTTTTAGTTAAATGAGTACATCTTGAGACCATAATCAAGACACACAAGTTTACCTTTTTAAATTTTTAAATTTTATTTTATTAGTATATGTTTGCAGTTCATGCAGTTTATAATTGTCTTGGGGAGTGATTACATGTACAACTACAGCTCGTTTCTTTTTTCTTTTAATCTTCTTCCCCTTCCCTCCCTCTCCCTCCCTCCGCCTCTAGTTTCCCTATCCCATTTCTCATTGTTGTTGATACAATTGATCTTACCTTGTGTTAAGGCATATACTGTTTACATTAACTGAGGTTATTAGGTTCCTGTACTTGGCACGTCTTTATTCTTAGTTCTCTTTTTCTGCCTCCTCACCCCTCACGCTTTTCCTCTTGGACCACTTGCCCATTGCAAGAGATCCTTCTCCTAGTTAGTGTGTACTTTCCTTCACTCAAATGAGAGATACCATATAGTATGTAAGTTTGTATAGACACACAAGTTTAAATATTTCGTCGTTTCCCTTGTGTGAGAAACGAGCTCCTTAATTTTTGTAAGTACACTTGAATTTTAAAAAAATCTTCATACAGTTCAGTTAATATTAATGAGTATCTCATAGCATAAATAATAAGCTATTGTCCTTGGAGAACTTAAGTTAACTTAACCAGATATGTAAACAAATTATCACTTAGTATGACATATGCAATAATAGAATTTTGCACAAGATTGAGCAGTAGTACTAGTAAGTGAATGCTTTGGGGAGAAATTTCTTTTGATGGGCAGATTTTGGTAATTATTAGATCTAAGCTGATTTTTGAATTATTGATGAAGCATTTACTAGATGAACAGGAGAGTTCTGAGTATACAGACTTGCATGAAAAGGGAATGACTAAAAAAAAGGGGGTGTACTCAGAGAAGTACAAGTAGTTACGTATTTCAAGGATATAGTATGTAGGAGTTGTGAGTAGAAACAGTAGTAGAAAACAGCATTGGAAAAGTAAGCATGAATCAGGTAGATAAGGCATTATGTGTTCTCCTAAGGAGCTCAGACCTCATACATTGATGATGGTGAACTAGGGAAGAGTTTTAAATAGGAAGGAAACTGGATGGATCATGATGCTCCCAATTAAGTCAAGAAGTAAAGGAAGAATTAAGTTTGTAAGGGAAGATATAGTGGTCACTTTGAATTTGAGATCCTAGCAGGGCTTGCAAGTGGTGACACCCTGTAGGCTTGGATTAATGGCCAAGTGTTAGCAGGGTGTGAATTAGAGATGACGGGTATCATTCATCATTCGTTCAGCAAATATTTATTGTTTACCTACTATGTGTAAGGTACAGTTCTTACAGTTCTGAATATGTATGTTACCAAAGGGTCTTTTTTCCCCCAGGTTAATCTTATAGTAAGCAGGGGAAGAGAAGACAATAAAAAGATGTGATAAAATATTTAGTATATTAGAAATTGATAATTATCATGAGGGGAAAATGGCTGAACAGCATAAAAGAGATTGAAGTGCTAAGAGGAGGCAAATTGCCGTATTAAATAGAAGGGACACTGTAAGCCTCACTGATAAGATAGAGGAGAGTAAAACCATAGGAGATGGTGAGACTATAGGGTAATGGTTCTCAGTATGGTACTGAACCAGCAGGACTGACTGTAGGAACTTGTTAGAAACGCAAACTGTTGGGCTGGGGTTTTAGCTCAGTGGTTCCACCGCCTGCTTCACAAGCACAAGGACCTGAGTTCCATCCCCGACACCAAAAGAAAAAAAAAAAAGAAAGAAATGCAAACTGTCAGTCTCCATCTTAGGCCCAGCTATTGCTGTAGAACAATGCACAGCATGTACTAGCACATGTCGCACAGTTTTCTGTGGGTCAGGAGACCAGGCATTGTGCTGCCAGTCACCGTGTTGCCAGGACTTGGTTCTTGTCTGGAGCTTGAACTGGGGGTCGATCCACCTCCAAGCCAGCTCAGGTTGTTCACAAAATTACAAGGTGACCAAAATATACCACAAATATTTAAGTAAAAATTTACTACAGTAAAAGACATACTGCCATTAACCCCTCAGAAAACTCCCCTCGTTTCCAGCACACTTATCCCAATGTCTTTGCCACTTTCTGGAGCAGTTCTGGAAGTCCTCTTCTATGAGTGTCTTTACACGTATGATCAAAAATGTGGGGAATGCTGCTGCTGCTGAGTGCCATCCAGCAGAAAGACAGGCATGTTAAAGCTCCACAGTGCCTCAGCAGTCTAGCCCCAGGTCTGGCAGTATGCAAGTTCTGGCTCTTCCCCAAAGTCAAAATGATCATGAAAGGTGCAGGCTTTGAATCAATTCAGGACACTGAGGAGTCACAACAGTGCTACTAAAGACACTCAAGAAAGAGGACTTTCAGAAATGCTTCAGAAAGTAGCGGCAGTGATCAGAGAAGTGTGTTCCAAGAGAAGGGAGTATTTTCAGTGACATCAATGACAGTGTGTCTTACTATAATAGATTTAAAAATTAAACATTTACCATATTTTTCTTTTAAAAAAAATAATAAATTTTACTTTTATTTCCATTTATTGTGTTTTTTTTTTATAATGCCCTGTAATTTTCTTATGGCTGTTAAGGTCCAAAATTCTGGCCAGATGTTGCCCCATCCATTGACTGGAACATGTCATCATCTCCTAGAGACCACCCCCCCCAACCCCCATCTGGAAGTTATTACAGTTTCTTTCCATGTGGCCCTCTCCATAGGCCCTTCAGGACAAGGTTCCTTCTTCAGAGCCAGTAAGGGAAAGGAAATGAGTCACTGGCAAGATGGAGTCTTACAACCTAATGTAATGTAATCACAGGAGTAACATGTCACCTTTCCTTTTGGTTAGAAGTATGTTAGAGTGTCTTGCCTGTGTTCCATGGGAGGAGTTTATGCAAAGGCCTGAATAGCAGAAGGAACAGGTCCTGGTGGCCACTTTAAAGTCTGTCTGCTATAGCTTTACAGAATCAGAAATCTATAGGTAGGATCTGTGTTTAACAAGCCCTCAAGGTAACTCTGCTGTACTCTAGAATTTCCTACTACTGAGAAAATGTGCAGAATAAAAGTACCTGTAAACTCATGGTCTTTGGAGGTTTGCAGGGAAAAAGTTTCAAGAAGCAATAAGGGGCAATCAGTTTCTATTGCTATAAAGACATCAAGTAAGGTTTCTGAGATTTGCTGTATATGGTCAGTCCTCAGTATCTGCTTTTTCTGCATATGTGAATTCAGCCAACTATAGATGGAAAATATTTGAAAATATTGTGTCATTATTGAACCTGTATGAACTTTCCCTTGTCATTATTCTCTAAACAATGCAGTTTAACAACTAAATAGGACTTGCATTGTATTAAGAACTGTAAGTAATTGAGAGATGGTTTAAAGTATACAGAAGGAGATGTATAGGTTCTGTCCAGAGAACCGTATGTTCCTTACGAGGCTTGAGCACCTGTAGATTTTGCATCCTCAGGGGTTCCTAGAACTCATTGATACCATGGGACCTCTCATTGGGGATCATTTCCATGTGATTTCCATGGACTGATGGGAGAGGAAAAAGCAATGGGAGTGGATTGGAATGTTAATAGGAGATGAGGGAAAAGATAATATATAAGATTCATGTATTTAAATTAAGTTGAACTGAATTTTAGTGAAGGTATTAAAATGAATTTGTTGGAAGTACTATAAATAGAATTTGTATATGAAAAATATCCGTATATAGAAATACATATGTAGGTTAAGATTGAATTAAATTTATCATTTGTCACTTTAAATGCAGTATTTAAAGTAAGGACAAATATTTTTAAACAGAACAATTTGGACTTTTACACTTTGTATTATAGAAGTATGAAGGTCACCACTAAACTTGGGAAGTATGCAGCTTCCATCTAAAAGTAGAGTGTGTAGAAATCAAACGAGAACCTAATTGCTTGTTATAAATTTTACTTTATAAAAGACAATAAGTCTTTTAAGAAAGTAGAATGTTAAATAAATACCATGTTCATTTCAGGCTGTTATGTTCTATTTGTCCCTGTGCTCTAATGTGTAGATAAATGGAAGTGATACTAGGTATCAGATGTCAGCCAAAGTTATTAGGGGAAAAAGATATTCTAACATTCTAGCAGTTTATCTTACCGTTTTCATGTTATAGTTGAGATCAGGAAAAATTTGTTTTCCTGGAACTCTCCTATTCTCACATAATTGATGATTCTGTTTTCTTTCTATAAGTAGGTTTGTTTAACTTATTTTTATGGCAAAAGTACCTCAGTTTTCTAAACTAGTATGTCTGTATTTATTGTGTACTTTGATAAAGTTCCCACCAACATATTGAAGCAGTAATTCTGTTCCTGGTTGTTGACTCTGCTTATTTAGGTTAGGATTAAATCTGCTTTGTAACAGCATTTTGGTTACACACAGTCTAACATATTTGAGGTTAGTGATCAGCCATTTATTCATGACATAAGCTATCTCTGGAAATTACTCATAATAGAAAGTACAAAAATACATATGCAGATTCTAGTTAATATAGGTTGTATTTTAAAACCTCATTTGTAATTTGGTTGTTTGAACTTGGGAAATATTTTCTGATAAAACAATATTTCAGGTAGACTAAAGTTGTTACGTTAGTTGCAGGGTAGGGTCTAGAGTTTCATAAAACCTAATAATAATAAAATAACAATTTTTACAATGGATAAACAGTGTTTCAGGCCCTGGATTGGGGAATCAGAAGGTAATTACTTCTTTCTTCCTTTTCTGCCCTTGCGACTTAATGTCTCTATGAGATAGCTGGGTTAGGACTCACTGACTAGCATTCCTAAAGTGAGGGGGGAGGAAAGCCTTGGTTGGTATGGACGATAGTAGAGGTTTTCCAACAGAATGGATGGAAGTGGAAACGGAGTCTGTTAGCAATGGTTATTTCACGTATACAAGGAAGTCAGAAGTCAAATACAATATGGTCCTTATGAATATATAAATGCAAATGTTGAAGTCAAAGTAAGAATCTAGGATTAACTTTGTCAGCCTTTGGAATGAAAAATTGTCTGCCTTTTAAAGCTCTGGAGAAGTGATACCTTTTAACATTTGACATTACGAAAATGACAGATTTGACTATTTATATCAAGCACAGTCATGCTACTGCTACCACCATTACCACCATCACCACCAACAAAAACTTCAAGATGATATAGTTGAAAAAATATTGTAGAAGCTGTTATCAAAACATTAATGTACTGATTGCATTGTATTAGAAAGACTATAGGATCTGCTAGCTAAATAGCAATGTACAGAATACACGTTATTTAAAATATAGATTATGGAAGTGTCATAGCATCTGTAATGCTTGACAAGGAGTCATTTTGTCCTCTGTGTATCTAAATGGAAGCTCCTGGAAGAGAGAGACTGCTTTTGATTAGTCCCTGTCTCCCTGACTTAGCCAGTACAGTTTGGCACATAGTAGATTCTCAGTGTTTGTATGAAGAAATGAAACTTAGCTGGAAAAACTTGTAATTATTATAAGGATAAACGTTTTAAACATCATTTATAGAAGTAGAAATTTAAGGTTTTTCATGATGTAGGTGAGGTTGCAGGAAAATTGATGTGTATTTATACATATATTGAAATTGGCACATGTATACATGCGGTTTTGCCAAGAGGACAGCATGACACTAGTCTATAACGATGCACAAATATTAATATCTGTTTTTAAAATAAATCATTGAATAAGTATACACAGAAGTTTCATTGTTATATCACAGTGGTGAAAAGGCAGGAGTATATTTTCATGGTAAAGAGAACTTTAAGTAAATTATAGGCCCATTCATTCAGAGGAGTTTTTAAGACTTTCTATTAAATTTATGTAGCAGCATGGAAAGGAGTTTATTATAACATGTCGCTGTAGGGAGTGGAGTGAGGCAACAAAAACAAAGCTGTGTTGACATAATGATTATATATATATATAATTAGGTATATGTGGGAATGAATATTGAAAAGGAATACATACAAGGCATAGCAAATCCAAATATATTTGGAGTAGTTGGTGAGGGTTTTTTCCTGCCTGCCTTTCTTCTGACATTCAAATATATGTACAATTTTTTTAAAGTGCTTTTTCTTTGACTTTCTTTGATGTTATTTTTATGACAGTTTTTTTCCTGTTGCTTTGAAGTTTAAGTTGATTTGTTCTAGAATATTTTTGTACTTTATTTTTTATATTTAGTTACTTTAATCAGCAAATTCAGCCATGGTTTAATTTTATACTACATGCAATTGTTTATTATCATAGATACTTAAGCAATGTGTTCTTTTCTGTTTCTTTAGGGCAAAGCTGTTGGAGTGACTATTGGTTGCATTCTAGGAATGTTCCCTTTGATGTTCTTTGGAGGAGGTGAAGAAGATGAAAAACTGGAAGAGAAAAATTAGTCCTCTTAGAATACCTATAAAAAGATGTAAACTAATGTACCTCCGTTATTAAACATGCTGTCACAACATTTAAGAATTAAGACAGAAACCTTGTATAGATATGGGATCAAATAATTCAGCATGTATTATGGAAAACACTAACTTACTGTGGCTTGGTCTTCTTAGGACATCTTTTTTAAAAAAACTATTTAGTATTGTTTTGTGTAAACTGTTGAAATGCTTTTTCATCGATGGCAGTCCACATTTTATCTTTTCCTTCTCTTTCTTTATACAGCAAAATACTATTTAAATTTCGGTCGTTGATGTACTGTACTGACTTGGGGTTTGCTTGTTGTTACTTAACATGTGTACATGCATGAAACCATTTGTGTTGTTATTCCCTGATAGCTACAATTCAAACTTAAGATTTTCCCAAATTTCTTTTTTTTTTTTGGTACCGGGGATTGAACTTGGGTCCTTGCGCTTGTGCAGCAGGAGGCAAAACCACTGAGCTAAATCCCCGGCCCTTTCCCAAATTTCTTAAGGTTAATATCAGTCAGAGATTTTTTTACTCTCTTTTCGGCAGCATCAATTTTGTACTGTTTCACAGTAAACATTTACAATCATGTAATTTCAGTAATTTTCTTATCTCTCATCTGTTCAAAACAAATTCAGATGTTAAGTATATATTACTCATTTTGATTTTCTGACCATACTGTCGTAAGAGCCAGAGGTTAACCAGAAAGACCAATTACATAGTCTCCTTCTTACATACAACCACATATGTATGCTAACAAGTGTACTTATTTCCAGTTGATGTTTTATCTTTAATTTCCCCCAAACGAATAATGACATGGTGGATTTTGACTCCTGAAAGATAGAAAATGGTTATTTAATAGTCTTTTAAAATAAAGATTATAGAATTAGGGGGATCTAAGGAATTGGACATAATACTTGCAATCTAAGAGGCTAAACTTTTTTTAAACTTTTTTTTGGGTACCGGGGATCGAACTTGGGACCTTGCGCTCACGAGGCAGGTGCCAGAACCACTGAGCTAAATCCCCGGCCCATTTTTTTTTAAACTTTTTTTTTAAACTTTTTTTAGAGAGGTAGAATTGGAAACTGTCAAGAAGGCTTATGGTATAGGTAGTAAAGTTGAAGTGGTGTTTGGAAGGTAAATGAGATACAAATTATCTTCCATCTGAATAGAATGAATCTGAATACTCCACACTTATCTAATGTTTAATGAATTTCATTTCTGGATAATTTCTTTTGAAGTGAAAATTAAATATCTTGTATTTTGCTTTTCTGCTATAAAATTTAGTCAAAAGTTACTTGAGAACTATTTTCTCCCATTTTTGGCCTTTTTCTTTTGTGCAAGTGCTTAAGGCATATGCTTGGTTAAAGTTGCTCATTTCCAGTCTGTGTATGTAATCATATATGACTCATAGATTTTAAATCTTTTAAGTTTTTTAGCATTTTATCTATACACATGCTAAAAAATTACTTCTGTTTTTAACAGAGTAGACATATCATGGAAAAGAGAAATTAAAAGTTACTATTTTGGTTATTGAAATTGTGTTGCTAAGTAGATGC